TACTACAAGAAACAAAAAGAGACCTGGAGAAGTGGAAGAATATCCCTTACTCATGGATAGGAAGACTCAATATTGTCAAAATGGCAATACTGCCAAAGGCAATTTACACATTCATTGCAATTCCAACACACATACCAATCCCATTCTTCAATGAGATGGAAAAAGCAATCTCCAGCTTCATTTGGAATGGAAAAAAGCCCTGAATAAGCAAATCACTCCTTAAAAAATAGAAAAATAGTAGGAGGCATCTCACTCCCTAATTTCAAATTCTACTACAATGCCGTGGTGGTTAATTCAGCACTATTTTGCTGGCATATGATAGCAATGATATTGTTCAACAGTTTCCACATTCTGTTGGATCACCTTTATTGAAAATGGGAACAAATATGGAACTCTTCCAATCTGTTGGCAAGACAGTTATCTTCAAAATTTCCTAGTATAGGCTGGTGAGCAAATCTTGAGCTGTATATGATAATTAAAACAAGCCAATTAATATCCCATTGATTCTTGGGGCCTTTTATTTTCCTAATGCCTTCAAAGAAGCTTCAGCTTCCTCCTCCATTATCACTGGCTCCTGCTCATATGGTAGTTCCTGATATTTTAGGATATTTAGATGTATAGGAAGCAACAAAAAATAGCAGTTTGGATAACATGCACCTTAGTCTAAAAACTGACGGCACTGCTCCTGGTATGTTAAAGAGGTCCTTGACAGCAGATATGCCCAATAAATATGGCTTTTGACTTTTTAACTGCTGCTACCATGGGTGTTATTTGAGCATCTTTTTAAAATGAAATAATTGACAAATTCAATCCATTCTCCATCTATTTTGATGTTATCTACTGGCCCAGTGGTAAGCAATTTTATTTAGTTAATGTTGATATGTAATCTATAATAAAAATGTAGTCTCGATCTGCTGTAGTGCTCCAAATCTTAACTTTCTGCAAGTAAAGTTGAGTCATCTGCATAACACAGGATGTTAATGAGTCTTCCACCTACCATGATAGCACATTCTTCATTACATATTTCAGTTTCTTAATTATCGATCCAGCATACACATTAAATAGGCATGCAGACAGCATATAATGCTGACATAAACCTTTCCTGACTTTAAGCCAAGCAATGCCACCTAACTGTGCTGTAAAACTATCATTTAAAAAGAAAAATTCCTTCAAAACATTTTAATACTTTTCCAGGAATTTTTTTTACAGAACTAAAAAAATACTTTTTTTAAAATTCACAGAAATTCTCAAAACAGACAAATTCTCAACAATCGAGTAAGAAATCATATTGCTCACAACCACATTTACAGGCCCTCTAATCATGCATTCATCTCATTAAGAACTAAGGATTCCTCAGGTTGGCTCATACTTACTTGCACTCAGACGCCTCACACCAATCTTTCTCCCGATGTTTATGTTCATTCCAAGGAATGATCATCAAGGAATTATCACTGTGACTAAAACTTTAAAACAAAACAAAAAAAAAGATACTTCAATATGCATATTATAGTGTGTTTCCATTCTCATTTAATCAAGAAGCATTTTCTCTTTATTCCATTTGCTTTTCTGTGATGCATTTACTTTTATATGGCTTTTTATATAATTTCTTCATTCCTATTGTTTCAATGTTGACTAAGTCTTTATAAACTTTCTCTTTACTTTTATATTATGTAGATTTTCCTCCCCACACTTTCCTTCACTGACCTTATGTTTCATATAATCATTCCCACATGTTGTGTTTTATAAAATTAATCACTATGGGACTATGGCCACCATTATCCTGTCTTTTCATTCCCTTCTGGATCTTTCCCATTTCCTTTACCCCCTCCCTTCCTCCACCCACCAAATTGTGTGACCTTGTGATTTCCTCCCTACCCATCTTCACTCCTGTGCTCCCACCCTCTCCCCTTTTTGACTCCCTAAACCTTTTACTAGTTATCCTTCTATTTTTACAATAATGGTCTTACAAGGAGCTCTGGTGGCCTAGTGGCAAGAAGCTGTACTGCAATACCAGAGGTACACAGTTCAAAAACACCAGATGCTCTGCCGGAGAAGGAGGGACAATTTCCTCCTGTACCAGTCAGATCTGATTTGATGGTACATGCACAAAACATAATAATAAAATAAATTTTTTTTAAAAATGGTCTTATGCATTGTCTTTATGAGACTGAGTTAATTCACTCAGCCTAACACTTTTCAGTCTCTCCCAAGTACATAGTATTTTTTAAAATCGTTGCTCCTAAGCATTGCATAGTATTCCATCATGTGAATAGGACATCTTGGCTGTTTCCATGTTCTTGTGATGGTGAATAATGCTACTATTAAGACTGGCACAAAAATCACTGTTTATATCTCAGTTCTAATTTCCTTGGGATTATTACTAGTAGTGGAATAGCTAGGTCATACAGATGTTTTTATGTTCAGTTTTTTTGAGGAAACACCAAACTGCCTTCCAGAGTGTTGTATCATTTCACAACCCCAATAGAGAGTTCCCACCTTTTCACATCTCCTACATTTATTGCTTGCTGTCCTGCTAAACTTTGCCACTATTACTAGAGTGAGATGGTATCTTACTGAGGTTTTGATTTACATTTCTCTTTATTTTGATGCAAATGTTCATTCATTTTCTTTGAGGTTATCAAGTAAGGTACTAATCTGTCTCAAATCTAACACATTTCTTTCTCTTGATTTCCTTTTCATTTTTATATTCTATTAACTACACTAATTATTGTCTCCATTTGCACTTCAGCTATCATCATTAATGGACTGATATGTACAGTCCACTATTTGGAATCTTCTAAGTCTATTTTACTTTGTGTCTATAATGTCCAGGTAAATTTCTGAATGAGGTGTTAAAATATGTTAATTTGTTAATTTTTGGCTATTGTTGGTTTTCTGTTGGTTGGTTCTCTGGAACACAGGAAAGTAAGTATCACAAGTCAACTTCTAGCGAATACACATCTTTAAAAAGAACCAAAATTAACACCTTAACCCAACATCTCTAACAACTAAGCAAAGAGCAGAAAACAAAGCCTAAAGTCTCCAGAAGAAAGGAAATAATAAATATTGCTGTTGTTGTTTTGTATTATCGAGTCTGAACGACCCATAGCTGACAATCCAGTAGGTTTTCAGAGGCAATTAATCACTTGGGAAGAGATTTCCCATCTTTCTCCTGTAATAAGGATTAAAGTAAATATAAATGTAAGAGAAGAATTGTAGGAAGAACCAACAAGACTAGTTCTTTTAAAGGATTAAAAATCAATAAGCCACTGGCAAATATAACAAAGAAAAAGAAGATGATGCATGCAAATAACAGGAAGAAGAAAGTACAAAGGTGACAATGACAATAGAAATAATGGAAATTAAAAGGTAAAAAGAGAATAATATGAATAACTAAAGGCCTAGCTATTGGAGATCTAGTGTTAAGGAGCTATATTGCCAACTCAGAGACAACAGATTCTAATTTACCGACTGCACCTCAGGAAAAAAGATGAGTAATCTGCTCCCATCTGATTTACAGTCTCTAAATACTGCTGAAGGGTCAGCAACCAGTCAGTTCTGATTTGATAAAACATAACAACAATAACATGAAAAATTATACTCCAGAAAATCTGAAAACCTAGAGTAAATTGACAATTATTTTGGAAATTCACTGAATACCTAAATATAGACAAAAGCAAAAAAAAAACTTAAATAGACTCATCACAAAATGATAAATGAAATAGGTCATAAAAACAACCTCAAAGAAAAGAAGAAAAATAGCCCTAGTCCAAACAGCTTCATCAGTGAATTGTACAACTATTCAGCAAAGAGCTCACATCCACTCTATTCAAACTATTTTAAAATATAATGCTGTGGTTGTACACAGCAGAGTCAGAACTGACTGATGGCTGACCCTCCACATGCTATCCAGCAGCGGTTAATCATACAAGAGGAAATTGCTCATCTAGCAGCTGGCCTCAAACCACGTTTCTTCAGGATTGCAGCACAGTTTCTTGCCAAGTAGGCCACCAGAACTCTCTTAAAATATACTAGAAGATGGAATACTCTCAAATCCAGTCTATTAAGTAAACATAACCCTAATACCAATGCCAGGCTAGGGCATCACTAAAAAAGAAAAGTATAGGCCATATCTCTCATAAACAGAGCTGTAAAAATTCTCTATTTAATCCTAACCAATAGAAGGCAACATTGCATCAAGACACATCATTCAACACAATCACTTGAAATTTATATCAACTATTTACTATTCACTGGATTTAGCTAATGATTAGCTGTGGGCTGGAAGCCTCTTGTTTAAGTCAATCAGGACCTGGTGAGTGGCCTTTGTATTTAAAAGTCACTTGGGCCCTGATTAAGTCTCCAGTCTGGAGGCTCACATTTGGAGGCTCACATGTGAAGCATTTGCATTCTGGAAGGCAGGTTCCATAGTTTTAGTTGAAAGACTAGTGTAATCTGTTTGGACTATTTTTAACTGCGTTTAGGAAGAACATTCTCCTATGTGGTACAGCACTAGTCTGTGAGTTTGCTGTACTGAGGTAACTTGGGGATGCTGTGATACTGAACGTTGTACCACTGGTGTGTCAAATGCCATAATGGTAACCCATGGTGGGCAGTGTTTGGTAGAGTTCCCAGATTAAATAAAATGCAACTTGTATACCATGCAATAATGAAAACAAAGAAAAAAAATTCTAGAAGCACTGAATAATAGGTGGATAAACCTAATGGGAAAGCTGAATCAAATAAACATCACAAATGAGCAAATATTATGTAAAATAATATTTTAATAAGTTATAATAAAGGTTAAAATACAGGAAACCATTTGCTGTATGGTTACCATGTATGAGGAATGAGGGAGAGAGAGTGGAGTGAAAATTTGTAAACAGATAACAGAAACACATAAAGATAGGTGATAGGAATGACAATATACAGTAAGAGGAAGATAGCGCATTATCACTAAAAAAGAAAAGACAACGAAGTACAGTAATATAAGCACAACATCTTTTAAAAAGAAAAAGCATATAGAATGTTTACTGGAAACCAGAATTACATAGAAGTGGGAAAGTTGGGATTACATTATCTGCCAGCTTCTTTCAGGAGAAAGATGGGCAATCTCCTCATGTGTGATTTATTGCCTCTGAATACCCGCTGGATGATCAGCTATGGGTCAGCTCCAACTTCATGGTACACAACAAC